TAAAAAGTGTCTATCTCCTGCAGCCCAAGAGGGAAGAGGGGGGGGGGGGGGAAAGTGCAACCCCCTCATACAAACTGCAGCGGAAGGAAGGAATTGAGAAACGTGCAGAACCCCAAGCTTGACTCACAGCTATTGATGGAAATTGAGTTTGCCTGCAATTGTCTCCTTCTCACAGTTTTTTCCCTCTCCCAGCCCATCTTTTGGTCTTTCTCACCCAGAGAACCACTAATTCTAGTGGACCCATTTCACCAAAGCTTGAAAAGACAATGGAGCTCACTAGGAGGAGCTTTCCCTCCAGGTAAGGCACCCCTCCTTTTCTCATCTTCTTGAGGGAAGGGCTTAGCTTGTCTTGGTCCCACCTAAATCCCAGGGCCAGAAGAAGCTGCAATGAGTCCAGTAGTCATGACCAAGCTCAGCTTTTTGATCATGATGTTCCTCCAAACAAAGAGGGACGATCCTCTGCCTGCTGAAGAAGGAAGAGTTTCTGGTTTGGAATTTTTACAAAGCTACTGCTTCCACAAGAGAGGGAGATATTCATCAAAGTTCACTTTTCAGTGGAAAAAACCTCCCCAAGATAACCTGGAGTTCCAAGGGGAAATAAGCCAAAGGACAAAGCCGTGTGGGACTGCTGGAGGGCACGAGAGCTCAGGCAGCACATCACCGCCGTTTGGATGCCCTGAGATGACATTATCACTTTTATCCTCAGCTCTCCTTTCCAATTCCCAGAGAGTGAAGTGAAAGAAGAAGTTTTCTGAGGGCCAGGCAAGCACAAAGTGCACTTTGACAGCACTACCTACACAGTGCCTGATGCCTGTACTCATTGGGACAGCTAAAAGCAGCAGGGATAACCCCAAGAGAGGCATGGGAAGACCATGGAACACACAGTGTCTGAGGTTGCAACACTACTGGTGTGGTGCCACTCACTCCCTCCACTTGAGATGGAATTAGCCCCTTTACTTTACAAGACACAAACCCATTTGCTGCCCCACTGTCACCCTCTCTCTCCCTCCCCAAGTCATTCTCGACTCTCAGCCTTACTGGCTTCTTGAGGACTGCGTTTAGAAGCTCACGAATTTCTTTTCCTTCATTTTAAACAGTTTTTAAAACCTAATTTTTGCTTCCCTGCTGTCTTCATGGACACGCCTCAGCTAAAAATGCGGCTTCAATGACATATCATTCATCCAGGGCCTGAGAGGGAGCAAAGAAACTGTTCACTCACTCCACAAAGAAGCATAAGGAAAGCCAATATTCCCTCCCATTCCTGCTGTTCCATTAAACTAATTTTATGCATGAGGTGAGATTGCATCTTTCCTAAAAATAATAATAATAGTAATAATAATGAATACATTTTTCTCCAGTGACAGCATCAGTGATGAGGTTTTGCTTTACCACAAAGTAGACATTTCTAGAGAGCACATGTAGAAGCTGTCTGGTTAAAAGTGCTCCAGGAATGGCCAGAATTAGCAGCTGAAGGAATTTATGAAGCTTTCTGGGTTATTCTGGAGCAGAAATTTTAAGGAATCACACACTATGTGAAAGATATACACAAACCTGTTTCCAAAGCAGTGCCCTTCTGAGGGCAAATCGATGACTGGAGGATCCACAACTGGATTGAGAGAGCAAACTAAGACCACTGAAGGAGAGATTCACAGGTAGTAACTTTATGAAGGATTATGCTTAAATGAATCCACAAAATGTGACTCTGGACACAGATGCCAGATAGCACCCTATGGGGGAAAAAAGGATATCCAAAGTGAGTAGGGAAATCTCCAATCCCCACATCATCTGCAGAGAGCTTGAGGGTGATTCCACTCATTCCTTCCAAGCCCCAAACCCCTGTTGTAATGAGGAAGGGGACATGGGAAGATAAGTAGATAAATCAAGTACTTGCAGAGGTGCCAAGAAATGCAGAAGCAGCTTTGGAGAGAGAGCAAATCACGAGGAGACATCTCAGGAGAGAGTCTGTCTGTGCCATGCAAGGAGAAGGACGGAGGAAAAAAGCTTTTAGCACCTGTTTGCTTGCACTTATAAATAAGAAAAGAGGCAACTGCAGTTAGAAAGGACAGTAGACACCAATCTCTCCTTGAATCCTGGTTGCTGTCCCCTCTGTGAACTCCTCACTTCATGACGGCTGCAGCTGCAGGAGGAGGGAAAAGGCAAAGGAATCACATCCCGCTTCCTAACGGAGGCGGGCACGGAGGAGGCACAGCTCTGATCACACATGCAGACACATTTCCCAGAAAGGAAAGATGAGAAACATATCACCTATAATTAGAGGGCAAGAGTTGTAAATACAGCAGTGAAATTAAAAGCGGAGGTAAGTCCAGAGCGGAAAAGCAGAGCTTGAACACACTCAAATCTCCATCCCAGCTGCAGCGTTTGACCAGCCCTTGGACCTGGTTTGCACTGCCATGGCACTCAGAATTCCCAGCCAAAGGACTTCACACATCCACGATGATGGTGAGGGCTTAGCTAACAGAGCAATCCTGAGCATGCAGCCCCTCGTGCCAGTGGGAGACGGGAAAAAACCCTTTTCCACAAACAGCGATGGAGATGCCTACCCCCAGGATTAGCTTCCAGGGCTGGATACGTTTAGCATGGATGACAGAGTGCAATTATTGTAGAGCTGTTACAAGCAAGGTTACAGACACCGTGGCCACTGATGAAAGCACTGAACATGCTGTGCTAAGGAGAGTGTCTTGCTATTTACAAACCAGCACACAAGGTCAGGGAGCACAGCTCCCTTCAGCCAGAGGCCACAATAAAACTGCTGTTTAACACTAAAGGATGCCCAGACCACCTTTTCCCCCTGCCACAGGGTGCCCTGAGCACACAAGTCTTTCTATTAGGTGGTTATGATCCACAGCTGTGACCTCCACACCTCACCAAAGAAGTCCAGCCAAATTGATAAGGTCCACATCAGCTCGCCCGTCCTCCTTGGAAGCCCAGTGTCACTTGGCTTTGCATCGTCTATCAGGAAAAGCCAGTGAAGAGAGCAAAGTCCTGAATAATAACAAGCAATAAATAAAGGGAGAAATGTAGCAAAACAGTTGGCAAGCCCAGTTCTCTGGTCACAAGATGGACAGAAGGCCACTGCAGCACACACAGCAAGTTTTTGGTTTTCCCTCTCCTGTCGGGCACTCCAGAAGTCTGTATTTTCTCCTGTAGGAGAAAGTTAAGGGTGTTGGCACCCTCTGGCTGTGCTTTAGACTAAAGATACTCCCAACACTAACTCCTCACTCCCACTCGAGGGTGAGACAGAGCTGGAAGACTTCAGTCTCTGTGTTGTGAAGATACACCCATAACCTCTGCTCATCAGGAGACCCAAACAAAGCTGTGCCAAAGACTCGACACCACACTTGCAAAAGGCACTAAACACAACCAGTGCTGGATGAGCCAACTTCCCTGTTGATGCCTGGTTTCAGCAGAGATGAAAAACCACCTCTGACAGCCCAGCAAGCGTGGCAGTGAAGCTGTGGAGCAATGCCAAGGCACCGTGACCTCCAAGTCCTGCTGAGGAGACCAGCGGGACTGGGAGCAGCCGACCGCAGGCAGCAGCAGTCCCGGCTGGAGTCAGCCTCCTGGCTAATTCCACTAGCATGCGGAGAGAAGCCACACCATCAGCTATTCCCCAAGTTATTTTTAGGACCTGATGACTTTCCTGGAAGCATGCCATGGCAGCGGGTCACAGGGATGACTGCAGGAGGGACGAGAGTGGCCCCTCTGCCAGCACAGCACTGGCAGCAGTAGAGGTTTGAAAGGGTCGCTGATAAACACCTGAGTGTACCAAGGGTGAACTCCAGCTGCAATCCCTCCATCCTCCTCCTCTCTTTCCCCTCTCACCTGTGCAACAGCAGCCAGTGCCAGCCCCAGGGCTTCCCACTGCCTGCTCTGTCCCCACACAGCCTGGAGGGATGAAGGGCTGGCAGCACTGGCACACTAATGCTTCATCTCAAGGCCATGGACGAGAGTCCATAACTGTTACTGAACAGGGAGACCTGGAGACAGAGCCTTGCCCTTGGAATGGGATAAAGAAAACAGCCAAAAGCCTCACAAGTTGGGTCCCGAAGTGAACTGGCACCTCCCAGGCAAATGGCACCCACCAGTCGGGGTGACCACTGCCCACAGCCCTGACCAACACCTAAGCTGCCTTGGTATCTCCTAGACTGCTGCTGGCCATGAAGAGAAGGAGCTCAACACTTCAAGAGGGATTAGGCTGAAAATTAATGACATTTTCCTTCATGCTGCCAGATAGATGCACCAGAGAGGCGTGAAGGAAGGCAGCTCCAGCTGCCAGGAATTCAGCCTGGTTTTCCACCTCATCTAACATGTTCCCCCCAAAACAGCCTTGGAAGCAATGCATTAGGACAATGACAGTGGGAAGAGGAGATGAGAACTGGACTGCCCACACATGGGAGAGCGGCGGGAGGTGAGCACAGCGTTGCCTTTGGGTTTGAGTAACCACAGAATATTTGCTCTCCACCTGCACTCAGGGGAAACACTCCTGTGTACGGCACAGCAGGGCTTGGCTGGTGAAATCTTAATGCTGAGGCACCCTGACTGAGCAGAGCCAAGGTAAAGCTAAATAAATAAAGAGAAGGTGTGAGAATCTCAATATTCCTTTTGCTGCTTTAGAACCCAAATCAACAAAGGCAGGAATTGAGAAAAAAAATGGGATATGCAGCACTTTGAAGTCATTCTATGATGCACGAGACAAAGGGCTTTTTGGGGGGAGAATAACACACAGCCCAACTGCCTCATACTTGACTTTATAAGGTTTGACCTTATCTGATAAGAGATCAGAAGAAGTATAATTCTGACAACAATAAATCCACCTTGGGGCCATATCCTATGGGTTCACAGAGGTGGTGAGGGGCTGGAAGGAGCAAGCAGAAGTTCTGCAATTTAAATTCTTACCAATTCACCCCCATTAAAGTCTTGCCCCATCAAAGAGGAGTTTGAGCAGTCCCACCCCATGCTGTGCCCATGATGTCACTCACCCCACTGCTGAGATCTGTCCCTGGGAGCACCACATAGCTCAGGAGCTCACAGCCCAGATCCCTCCCTGAGGGTGCCAGGGAAACCACAATCAAACCGAGTGTTCTGCAGAGCTGACTTCTCTCAGCTGGGGACGCCCACAGCCCTTCCTCAGTGACCCATCCATGAGGTCTGAGCACCTGGTTGCCCCCCAGCATGGAGGGAAGCCCAGCACAGCCCAGAGAATTCCCACTCTGCTGAGAAATTCCTCATTTTTATCGTTCCATTAATGATTTATTCAAATTTACCTGCATGCCAATTATACGTCAAAGCATTAAGAGAATAAAAAACCTTGATATGTGTAAACTGTTGCTTACTAAATTAGTTTGGTTGGTTGTATTGTTTAGGATTATTTTTTTTAATGCATTCTGATCCCATATCTGCTCTACTTTGCTGCATGAAAAAAAAGAGCTGATAAGAATGAATCTAAAACCTGCAATAACGACAGAGAAGGGGAATAGAGTTTTACAGAAGATGGGCATTAAGGGGGTTAGAAATGCACGTTTTTAAGGCAGCAGATTAGGAAACAAGGTGAAGCATCACAGCAAAGGGGTTTTATTTTGGCTGCCTTGAACTTCCACATGCCCCCCACCTCCCGAGCTTCCCCATGTGATGAGATTGATCCCGATAACTAAATATATAACTGAAATTAAACGAAGGCGGTGTAAAGTTCAAACAGATGCACTTGCTAGTCCCTTGCCAGAGCTGTGTGCATGCAGAATGGGAGCGTTGGCACCCAGCTTTGCTCCCTCATCAAGAGGAATTGTTGGAATATCTGATGGAGCACGTATAAGGCTCAGGCTGGTTAAGCAGTGACAGTCAGGGAATATGAATGAACACAAGAGTTTTTAAAGGCCTTAGAGGAATTAGGTGCCCAAAACACACACAGGCAGGCATTTAATTCCCCTGAAAACCCAGTATTTCAACTACCTTGCTGAAAAGATCTCTTTAGATAATCCGGAAAGCTGACATAATACCCAACAAAAGTTTTTAATTTTCCTTTTTTTGTTAGATTCAACATTATGATTCAGTTGCAGGAGGAATTTGGTCTTAGCCTTCTCCTCACAAGGCCTCCAAGCCTTTTGGGAAGTTTCAAGGTGCATTTCCTAGTCATTACGGTCATAAATGAAGAAAAACTCCAGTCTAGTGGAATGGGTACAGCCTGCAAGCAGAGAAATCACTTTTCTTCCTCACACCCACTCGCATCCATCCACTGCCCATGCTTTTAGCAAAAAGTCAACTTAAACACTGCACCATTGCTGCACCTAAACCAAACAGAAGCATCCAATCTCATGAGCCAAGAGCATCACTGGTGCCCTCCTGGAGACACTCCTGTAGACAAGGGTGAGCTCAGCGACCTCACTGCCCCATCCCCTTCGCAACAGTGTGAGGGAAATACCAGCAAAGGCACACAAAAAGCCAGTGAGGTTGTTACAAAGCATCTCTTGTTTCCCAGCCCTAGAAAGAGCTGTGCAAATGGGATATCTCCCAGAGCTCAGACTGCAAACTACTGCCATCAGCCTCCTGAGGCTGCTCAGCATCCACAGCTCCCGATACTTTGGAATTCCCCAAAGCCCTTCTCCATCAGTGGGAAAGTTATTTTCAGGGCCATATTGTGCCAGGGCTGGAAACAGGCTCTGATTACCATTTTATGCCTGTTTAACCCAAGCAGGAAATATCAGTCCAACACTCCAAGGACTCTCTTACCTGTGTGGGGTTTGGCAGAGACACCTTGGTTGGAGGACACCATCTGCCCCCGTCTGGCCTCCTCCGTGCAAGAAGGACAAATGGACAAAGAGGGATTGGACACAGAGATTTTTTAAAAAAAAAATTTCAAAAGCACCAAGAATCCTGCAGGCTCCTGACCATGTGGGGAAGTTATTACTGTTAGAAGAAAGCCACCTGCATCAGAAGGGAGCGAAGCCAGCAACTGAGATACATATCAGGCAACAGGAAGGAGGGTGGGACGTGATGAGAATTGGCATAAATATGAGGCTGAGGCAGAAATCATAGGAAAATAAGGGAAGAAGAATGAACGTAGGGCTGCATGGCATCCCTGGGTCATTGGATCCGGCCCTCCTGCAAACTCCTGCTAAAAGCAGGAAGGGTTTCATCCCCCTCTATTCCCACAGGAAGGCTGGTCCATAGCCCGATCGCTCTCTAATTGTCACAAACGATCTTCCAGTTTCCAGGCTGAATTTATTCTGGGCAAGTTTACGTACATTTATTCTTGTGCCAACACTATCCTCGGGCATAAATAGTTCTCCTTGGCTGATGCTCTCCCCTCCCCATCTTCCGCCAGTGTATTTATAGGCAGCTATCTTCCTCAGCTTTCATTTGCCTAATTTAATTAAGTCAGGCTTTCCTCATCTCCCCTCCAAACACACACGAGCTCCATTTCTTTTATCATGCTAGCAGCCCTTTCCCAGTCCTGGCTCTGAGGAAAACATGAAGCACACAATCACCAGCAGTGATCTCTCCTGGAAAACGGATGCTTGTGAGCCGAGTGCCTAATTGCAAACTAACAGAGACAGGCTCGTCTTTTATCCTGTCAGCTATTTTGAATCAGTTAAAAGATCATAAATAGTGTTCTGGAGCATAAGCAGGTCCCATAGTGCTCTGCAGTGTGTTCAGTTTACATTTTGGCTGAGTTGTCTTGCTGTAATCCTGAACCAGTCCTTCTTTTTCCAATTATGCTACAGCACTTTGTAAAACCATACAATGTCCATCGGATTAAATATTATCCTATTTGGTGTCAGACAGCAGCTCATATTGCAAAAGGAGAAAGCTTTGGCCAGCAGAGGGGAGGACAACAGGAGGTTTAATTCCTGCTTTTCTTGGGAAAAGAGAACTTGACAGCAGACTGCACGGGATGGAAATATTGCTGTTTCGCTGAACATTTGGGTAAGTCCAATCCATGGACTTCCTAACAACTAAAGATCATGAAAAAGTAGCAAAACCTGGCAACTTGGGGTGGTCCTGTGCAGGGCCAGGAGTTGGACTTCGATGATCCTGGCGGACCTCTTCCAACTCAGGATATCCTGTGATTCCATAAGATATACTTAGGTGATCAAGGCCAGGGAACTTGGAGTCAAGAATTTTAAGACAACTATTCAAGGAGCCATTTGAGCTGTTTTAAAGCTTATTTTAGTAAAAGCTTTCAAATTATGGGAAAAGATAACATGTATATAAAGATACACACATAGGATATGGTGAACAAATCTGCAGAGTTTTAACCAAATTTGACTTTACACTGTCTTGGGGGTGGTAGAATTTACTGCTCCTTGGGGCCGTCCTGTGCAGAGCCAGGAGCTGGACTTTGCTGATCCTGGTGGGTCCCTTCTAACTTAGGATATTCTACAATTCTATTTTGTTTAAATATATGTTGAACAATGGTAATAATGTTAGATCTTTCATGCCACGGGTATTTCTAATTTTCTAACTAGATGTTGGTATTTCCTTCAATATGAGTGAAAAGGGGACAAGATTAATAAATGCAGCCAGCTACCTGAGGACTTGATCTTAGAGGTCCTTTTCAACCTCAAAGATTCCATGATTCTGTGGCTCACCCAGGATATGGCTCAAACCTGGCTGTGAGGCAGTCGCCATCCTCTTTCCAGGAGGTTTCTGAATATGACATCTTAAGAAAAGCAGGGGCACAGAAACTCAGAATACTGTCTTTGCAGCTGATATTAGGCTGACAGTTAAAAAAGGACTCTGTTGAAGAGCAACTCTGCTTTTTAACATATCTGATAATGTTTGTTAGCCCAGCAAAAACTGGTATCTGCCTTGTGTAAGCATCTTGTCTCCCCTTCTCACGATGACCTTGAGCAGCTCTCCAGCTCAACAGCAGCCTTGTTGCACTCCACGCGGAATAACAAACTTCTCATGCTTCATCTCGGTCTCCTCTTGACATCGACCAGTGCAAGCTGTCCCTTGCATCACCAAAAGCAGAAGTGAAGGAGTACAGCACTGTTTCAGTGGCCACTAACCCCAGAGAGGTGCCACTGCTCTATGAGGCAGTGCAGAGGAACACAGCATTGCCCCCACGTGCCATCACATCACTGCTGAGCAAGGCACTGTTCCCACACTGCATCTCCCAACTGCTCGTTGCAGAACTGGGAACAGCTCTGTGGGATGATTTTTGATCAGCCAGCGAGCAAGACAGGCTCCCTCCAGCCAAAACTGAGAAGAAAAGGTGCAGCTGGAGACCAATTTGCTGTAGGGCGACCGCCAGTGGAGAAAAATGGAAATATCCTCCAAGAATCCCAAGCCTTTCAATAAATAAGGAAAGCTGTTGTCGAGATGTAAAATAGGCAGGTGTTATTCGTAGGAAAGCGAGTTGTAGTGGGGTGCACCAGAGCCAGAGGAACAGTTATCCACAGCCTCTCCCTCTCATTTCTTCGTGGAAATCGTGGTGCTGGCTCCAAAACACGAAAGCCACGACTGTTTCCAGCAGCGTTAGAAACACAACCAGCACATCAACCATTTGTCAGAATGACAAAACTAGCAGGAAAAGAGGAGGGGAAATATGTTCTTTTCAAGCACCTCCACGGGGGATTTGCAGAAATTGGGTGATAAAAATTAAGCAAATGGCCAGAATCCTCCAACACAACACACTTTGTTTGTGATTTTACACTTCTGGGTTGCCGGGGCTTTTCTGAGCCAAAAATTTCTGCTAAAAGAGAGAAGTGCCCACTACACAGGACTCAAGGAGGTCTTGTAATGGGTTTTCCTTCAGCTAGAAACAGGCAGACCTAGCACAAACACCTGCCAGCTAAGAGAAGATTATTAATACCAAGAGAGCAACAGCAAAGCATCCAGCACTGTTGAAATATTAACTTTTAATAGCAGCGTGGCAATTTCCCTACAACCCGAGCCCTTCTCCTGCAAGTGGGAGAGTGTTGGCCAGGCTTCCCCTGGCTCTTCCAGTGACACCAGGGAAGGGCCTGAGATGGATGGCCAGCCCCAGGGCAGCATGATTGATTTCCCTCGTTAGCCAGAGCGGTTAAGTGGGACAGAAGTGTGGTTTGTCTCACTCAAGTCTGACGTGAGCAATACGTGACAGCAGCAGGAGGAGGTGTTGCATTTATGGTGAGGGTTATGTGTTGCACCACAGCTATGGAGCCAGGTAGGATGAGTCCTTCCTTATAGAACAACTTGGTTTTTATTGTTGTTCCT